AGTAGGCAAGCCGGACTGCGAACATAACAAGCTCCTTATGAACTCGCTACCATCTCGTTGGGGAGACGGCTTGGGGAGACGTGCGTTTTAAGAAAGGTTGTACGTATGAAATTCGCATCTGTTTAAAAATTTGCTCAAGAGACAAACTGAAAGGCAGATAATATGCACACGCCCTAACAATTATGATGTAGCATCGGAGACTGGTCGAGAAGAAGTGAAAGATAAGATAATAATTCGTATTAATAAACAATTATGAAATTAAAAATCAAAATTTAGAAGACTTCTTCGTGAGCATTAAAAAGGCACACTAAAAATTCACGTACGGCCAAGTCTTCTGAGTTTTCATCGCAAGAACAGGAGTCGATATATATATAATGTATAATAATGGTCACCCAACGTGTTATAATTGGAACTTCCGTCCAGCATGCCCGTGATAAAACCATAGGAGCTGTGGCCATCGCTAAATTTCATTACTACAACAGTATTTATGATATAGTGGCCATGACATTCTTAAATTATTTGAAAAAAGTGCATTAAATTAAACTTATTACATCTTTGTGAAACAGAACGCTGGAGATAACACAATGTAACAACACCGTTAAGGCAACAAAATACAAAATAAGAAAATAAATTTTGAACACACAACCAAAATATATTTTTAATATTTAGTAGCATGTCTTTTTTTATTTAACAACCGCTGACTCAAGAGCGACCTCATATATAAGCAATAACTGGACTTCTGACATCCCTCTATTATTACCCATTCTAATGGAGATGCTATATACATCCATTATTTTGTCGATGTGCGCTATCCTTTCTTTTTCAAGTATAAAAGGTTTCATTACCACCAAGATGCTTGCTTATCCTCCACTGGAGGAAGCCATTAATAAATAATCCAAGATTATATGGCATGCGACGAGGACAGAAACAGAATGGTTCAACAGGCATGGCATCAATGTTCACAGACCAGTTTCAGATAAGACGCTAACAGCAATTTTTGTTTTGAGCTAGAGTTGTAGAATAAAGTGAAAGTCTGGCAAGATTAAAAACTTGCACATATCTTTGTCCGGATTATGCAGAGAAATAAAATGATGTTGACTATCTAATCAAATAAATGTTTACAAGTATCATAGTTTATAGATAGTATCATAGATAGTATTGTTTACAAAACTTTTTACAATATATCCTTTCTATTTATGCACGTCATCTTCAGTCATGTTTGTGGTAGTATTTCTGTTCCAAATAAATACATAAAAAAATGTGTTGAAAGTTCCTTCCCATTTCTAGTGGACCAAAATACAATAAAATTTCACGAAATATTAGTTTCCTCGAAAGTTACGCACAACCATTCAAATGATACTAGTCGTGAGCCTTGAAGTCGCACGCCCAATACTGACGATAAAGAGCAATTTCAACTAGTCTGTACTAAAATCCAGCCTGTAACATCAACAAAAAGTGAACGTCTAGTTAGGAACATCCTACGTCGGAGTTAATATTACGATGCGCTTGCATATCAGATTGCTGATTGGGTTGAAAAGATCTTGAACGGGAGTAATGGTAGGAAACGTTACCTCTGTTTGTTACACAGAAAACTTGAAAATATGCAATAATATTTTCAATTACAACTTACATTGGTATTGCATAGCACCATAATGGCAGGTATAGTACGAACTGCGAACGTGAATAAAATAGGATTGTTTCAACAGCGTCCAAAGGGTGAAATTGCAGAATCAACGACTAAAAAACAACTTGCATAAGTATTGCAAAAATGCAATGGCAGGCACAGTACTTACTTCAGTTCATGATAAATAAATAACATTATTACTTCATTATTTAACAACACAAATTATGGTTATACAATTCCAACAAAATATATCTGTTTGAAATTTGCAGGATTCTCAAGACAGGTACTAGACTAAGAACACATCTTAAACTTCACGCGGGCGTGATAAACTCCACTTCATCACGTGTAAAATCATTTACATGCAGTGAATGGTCAAAGAATAAAATGATACCATGAGAATAAATAATGCAAAAATTCCAATGACCATCACCAACACTACGTGAAACATCCTACCCTCTTAATATGAACGATAATCTAACGAAATATCACCCAAAAAACGTATTGCATCGAACCCTATCTACATGCAGTGAACGATCCTACCGACCATGAACCAAATAACTGATCACCAAACCCACAAGCGGGGAAAGCATCATACCCACCAACACCCTCCCCACATATTACAGCCTGTAGCAACCATCCGCACTTCTTGATTTCATCCACTAAAGAAATGGGCTCAATTTTTGTCAACCTGATTAGCTAAGTTTTAGTAATGTTCAGTTCAACACCAGCCCTGAACCTGTAAACAATAAACTTGCCTCACACCGTACTCCAGCCTCTCCCTAGCCTCTGAGTGTCTTGAAAACTTTTATTTCAGCATTGGCAACTCGATCTTTACAAGCCTACCACAATCGATCACCATACCTAGAGCCTATCCTATACCCTCTCCCAGTCCAGCATACCGGTCTGTAGTCTGCTCTTGAGCACATCAGGCGCGATGGCCACGCACCAGTTGAGCATACCGGCCAGACCTCCAGCAACCACAGTCCTCAGGGGGCTGAGCTGTGCCTCTTGCCCAGGAGGAGCCATAGACGCCTTGATCCACTCATATGACATGAAGTACATTCCTGACGCTGGCACATCTGCAACACAGGAGACGCTCATACTTACAGAATCCATTCTATTTCTGCTAGTTTGGGACTCAGCAAAAATGCAATGGAGCTGGATTAATGAAAGATGCATGAAAGAGTTTAATGAGTTGCAATGGAATTCAGATGTATTTTATGGATCAACATAGAAAAGGTGATACCCAATCCAAGAATCTATTGATGGGCAGAATTTAATAAAAATTTAATTAAAAAAAATTAATTTAAAATATGATGGGCAGAATTTGGAAAAAATATTGTAGAAGACTATTATAAGCCAGAGTTGATGTTGGAGGAATAGTTCACCTCTAAGAAGAGTGGCACAGGTCCCCTTGTATATGCTGGCAATGCCACCAGCACGATAGAGCTGCTTAACCACATCAATGGGTCCTTTGTAGACCTGGGGTCCACTGCTGGCTTGTTGAACCTGTAACAGCAATTTATGCTTTTTGACATAATTCAGAACAAACTATTCTAAATAGTCAATGAGCACAAAAATACGTATAGAAAAAATTCCAACTTGTCAAGAAAGAGCAACAGGTAATTCTCCCAACTCATAAATACAAAATTTTAGGAAATCAAGTAATGTCTTCAGTTTATTAACTAGAAAAAGAAATTCAAATTGACTATGTATCCATTTTCCAATAAATGTACCTGTAGAAGGCACTTAATCCGTTCGCCGGGTGCCATGATGGCTGTGGTGAACACGCCACTAAGCATGCCAGCATTGAAGAGCTGTACAGCCATCAACTTTTCATCAGGACTCTTTTGTTGAAGACGCTTGCCAATGCCAAAGCCAAGGAAGCATACGGCAAACATAGGTGTAACACCCATGAGAGGAGCTGCCATACCTGTCAATCATGATGATACGAAATAAGATAGTTGCATAGTTTAAACTGAACAAAATAGTCTGAGAAACAAAGTAACCAAACTTCAGATGTAAATTGCTCAAACAATAATAAATTCACCATCAATGTAATCTCTATCTTGTATCTGATGCTTAATAAATGAATAGATGTTTACTGCATTTCAACGTGCAACTGCAAACAACAAACCTTTGTATAGTCCTGTGAAGCCTTCAGCTCTGACAGTTTTGACTGCACAATCCCAAGTTCCATTGTAGAGTGGTTGAGTTTTACTTTGAGTTTGAAGTCGTACCTAAGAACAATTAGAATATAATGAAAATCACCATTATGTTACTAAAAACATCTTAGACATGAAGAAGTACCATTAACAAAATTAACAAATGAACTAAACAATTTACTCCACTGCCTATATCTATACATCAGAATCCTTACAATCATAAAGAAGCATTTTAACTGCCACCAGCTGAGTTTGACTCTGAATGGTACACGTGCTATTAATTCATTAGTCTCATGTGGACACCATATTTGCACGAGCATCAAAGAAATACATTATTCCTGAAAACCTAGGCTGGTCCACAGCACACACCATCAGCTGGGTCTAGACCCACTCACTCTTTTTAGCGCATTTTCTCATTTATGGAAAAAATGCCCTATTGTGCTCATCATGTCCATCCGTCCATCCGTGACTTCACATTTTTGTCAACAAGAGAATGCGCTCTTTGTCACTCACTGCAGTGAGTACTGAGTTATATTTTTAAGTTAATATTCCAAACATTTACGTATGTGAAAATATCAACCTCAAAAATAACAAACTGAGTAAGTAAGTAGTAGAATGGTTTGCTAGTTCTTCAGCTATCAAGCTACTAAAATAAGCCCTAAGCATATAAGCCTTAATTACCTTTATAGTATCCAGTGGATGACCAGAGGCCACCAAGCACATGCCACCAAATCCTCCAGCAAGAAAATCTTTTGCAGGACTTACAGCTGGCATTATGGTTTGTGAAATAAATTATCTTTCTTCCAACTCTAACTATATTGATTTGTCAAAGCTTGTATTCAAACATAAATGTAACAGAAACAATATCTTGAAAGGTCAATTAATTTCAAAATATTAATATAAGATCAATTTGAGTCTGAAATCATGAGCAAAGTGGTAAAGCAAAGACTTTTTAGACTCTCCCTTTTTGAGTAGTATGAGTAGACCCATATTGTATAGTCAGATGAGGTAAGACAGGACCGAAATCACTAACAAGCCTGTAGCATCTATACCATGAATAACTAAAAAAACCCTGAACCTATCACAAGGTGTAGTTATGCAATGGGCTTCTAAGCTACAACTCAGACGTTTTACAGCTAACATAGTTTTCTGTACAGATTAAAAAAAGTGAGCTGATCCCATCTTACCCCACTGGGGTAAGATGGGACCAGGCTGGGGTAAGACAGGACCAACTGGTAATTCTTATGTTACAAGGTTTTTAATAAAAGTACAAATCTGGTATTCAATATTATCCATCTAGAAACACATTATTTGATTAAACAACCACTTGTTACTGTTTTGTGTTGTGGGAAGTCAACTCTGATATCAGTCACATTGGAGTTTTTGTCACGAGAAAACTTTGTTAAGCATAATAATAGTGGGTTGGCTTTGGTTCATTGTAGAGCACTGCTAAATGCTTCAAGTACATTCCACTAGTGTCATTGTCTGAAAAATTTATCAGATTGGTAATAAAACCAATGGATAATAACGCAAGTGTCAGACGTCATGTATTTTCTTGCTAACTGCATTTGTGGTGCACTTCTTCAAACATAGCCATGCCCTCTCACAGAGTTATGATCATAATTATTTTTCATGTTTCACACAATGATTTTTCCCCCAGCCAATGTTGCACATACTAGTTCTGCAGCTCACTAATGGGAATAGACATCCCTATTTTCTATATCCCTTTGATGCAATTTAAAATAGTGCGTTAAATTCCTCTAATTAAAAAAGCTAACAAGTTATAATGAAGTTTGAGCAAAAGATAAAAATTTTGACCAAAATACTCCATGTACTACCGTAAAATGGGGTAACTTAGACCACTTTTATTTTTATAAATGATGCCATTTTTTTACTAGCTAAATTAAACTTGAATTGAAACATACAAAATACAGGTCTACACTCTAGCTTCACTTACCATTTTTAAATAATAGCTTTTTTTTGTGGGTCACATTTTTAATTTTTTAACCTATTAGATATGCAAACTTTTTAAATTTTTCTATTGTGTTATGTAGCCGCAGTATTAGGCCTTGAATGCCCATTGACAGAATTTTTCTATGTCAAATAGTTTTTGAGTTTTGGGGGTTTTCGTTAAAAAAACGAAAAATGGTCTAAGTTACCCCGCCGGTCTAAGTTACCCCATTTTACGGTACACAATATTTTCATTTAAAAACTATTCTTGATAAACTGTAGGGTAATAGAGGACCATTTGGGGGGCAAGACAGGACCATTTGTGGGGTAAGATAGGACCACTTGTGTGGTAAAACACGATCATTTAGTGGTCCCGTCTTACCCCATGTCCGGTCCTTTTTTACCCCATTTTAGAATACATGTCAAGCAGTGATGGTAGCAGGTAGGAATGCC